AAAAAAAAAAAAAAAAAAAAAAAAAAAAAAAAGAACAATGGCAAATTGGACTGGACACATACAACATATACCGTAGTCTCCCTTTGGGGTAGTACTGGGAATTGAACCCAGGGCCTTCTGTATACTTGACAAGCATTCTAGGCTATATGCCCCCCATCTCTTTTATTTATTTATTGAACCCAGGGCCTTGTGCATGCAAGGCAAGAGTTCTACCACTGACTCACATCCCCAGCCCTTCCCCATCTCTTTTAAATTTTTCTTTTTGCCTTTTTTTTTGAGACAGGGTCTCAGTATGCAGTTCAGGCTGGACTTGAGCTCACTTTGTAGCCCAGGCTAGCCTTGAACTCACAACAATCCTCCTGCCTCAGCCTCCCAAGTGCCGGGATTACAGGCGTGCGCCACCATGCCTGGCTCATGTACACTGTTGAATCTTCACTTTTCTAGTTTTATGATATACCATGCCACGTGTTGCACGTGGAGAGACCACAGCTCATTGCCTGGCATAGAAATACACACTACCATGTTGGTGGTGCAGTACTGAAGCGAGCTTGGTATATCTGATGAACTCAACCCAGAGCCAGCCTTGTGGTACAAAGGAGAAACTAAGCTAGGTGGAATAGAAGTGGACTCAAACATGGAAGTTTCTCTGTCACCCAGTATAGCCTGAAGCTGCTGTTGCAATGATGCAGGCAGGAAGTGAGGTGAGGGGTTGCTTTTAAAGGCCAGAGCTGGATGTAGGGGCATGGGTAGAGTTCCAGCCACAGGGAGACCTCTTGAGCCCAAGATTTTGAGACCAGCTTGGGCAGAATACCATAACCATACCTGGAAAAAAGTTCTAGAGCCAGGTATGGTGGTGTACACCTGTGAGTCTAGTATTGGGGAGGCTGAGGCAGGAGGATCATGAGTTTGAGGCCAGCCTGGACTGTATATAGTGAGACCCTCTCTCAAACAACTCTTAGGAGGAGCATCAGAACCCACAGCACTTTCCCTCAGCTGCCTTTTTCCTCCCGGGTTCTGGAGATTGTAACCAGGGCCTTCACCCTGAGCTACATTCCTGGCTTTTTCACTTTTTTTTTTTTTAAATTTTGAGACAGAGTTTCACTAGATCGCTCAGGCTGGGCCCTGGGTTTGGGATCCTCCTGCTTCAACTTCAACCTCCTATGACACTGGGATTACAGGCATGTGGAACCCATCATCTCCGTTGTCTGAACACCCCTGCCTTGCATCTCTGGGCGGCTGCAGGGTTTTAGCTTGTGGACTGGCTATGGCGCTCTCTCTTCTTGAGTCCCTTTGGGAATATTTTATATTCAGTCTGGAATGCTGTGAACAGATCCAGCGATGCCATCTCTTTGTCCCCAGCCCCAAAACTGACCCCCACAGTGTCCCCTGTCCTGACCCCCGGGACAGCCCTGAGCTCTTCGCTGCGCCCGAGTGATAAAGTTTTTCAAAGTCTCCATGATTCCTGAATTAGATTCGAAATCGGAATTTTCAGGGATTAAAATTAGCTACCCTGGTGATAGATCCCTGGATACAGATAGCAGGGAGAGAGCTGAAAAGAGAGGATTGCTAGCCCTGGGAAGTCTCTGCCAGGGCCCCTCGGGCTGCAGGGGATGTGGAAAAGGCTGAGGACGCGGTGGGTAGCAGCAAGGGCACCCCGGGAGTAACAGTGTGTCCTCCTTCACAGGGTTCAGCCTCATCAACTTAGCCCTCTTTCCCTCTCTCCCCGCTCCTGTCTCCTTCCCTTCCTCCCTCCTTCTGTCTTCCTCCCCCGCCCTCGCCCCCTCCTCTCTCCACTCCTCAACCTTTCTCCTCCTTCTTCCTGCCTCCCTTCCACCCCACCCCCGAGCTCTCTGTCTCCTCCTGGCGGCGGCGCCTGCACACCGCGGGCCAGTTGTGAATGAGCCACAGGTTTCTCAATGGGCGCGGCGCGGCGGCGTGGGGGAGGGGGCGTCCGCGCAGACCCGCCCCTTCCGTGC